TGTCTGTGTCTGTGTCTGTGTGTTTGTGTGCGTGCGCGTGTGTGTGTGTGTGTGCGTGTGTGTGTGTGTGCGTGTGTGTAGCATTTGGCCCCAGCTGAACCCGCCCCTGCACGCTACCACGCGAGCTCCTCCAGGACCATGGCTGACTCCGCCGGGCTCTTCCAGTTCGCCACTGCCGCCGGCGCCGGCAATGACAAGAAGCGCGTCGCTGCCGGCGACGGGGTGGGGCCAAAACGGCAGATGCTGCGGAGGTGCGACCACATGGCAGCACAGGAGTTCAACCCGCACGCCGCGTCCGGGTTGGACCACGCTTCCACGGAGGAGTTGTGGAAGCGGGCCAGCCAAGGCAACAAAAAGGTGCAATACTTCACGGAGCTGGCGGATGAGACCCCAGAGCGCCGGGGAATCGGAATCTCGAGGACGGCGGAGGTCCTCAAGGCGGCGTGTCTGTAGATCAAGGACGAGAAGGCTAAGAAAATCTTCAACCCAGACATCTTGAATCTGGTTCTTGGTGTTAACACGCCACGGTCGTACCCCCCGACCGGGGGTACGGGTACGTCGGAGCATCCAGGGCGCACTCGAGATTGGGGGTGTGGCTGCGCGGCAGGATCCGAGCCTCAGATTGGTTGCCTGTAGGGCCGCGCCGCGAGGGCGAGCAGGTTGAGCGCGGGATCGATTCGGCGTCGTCGGACGACGAAGACCACGTGGACGAAGATTACCCGTCTTCCTTGGAGGACCTGGACCAGGAGCTTGCCCGCGAGGCCGGCGAGTTCGCCGAGGATGACTTGGCGTACGGATCTGAATATCCGTCCGCCTCTTCTTCAGCCACGTCGGACGAGGAATCCGACGCGGAGGGCACCAGCACGACGTCTGGCACGCAAGCAGGCGCGAGCGGCAGCGAGCTCGGTCAGACTGAGGGACCGGGCGACGCCGACGCGCTTTTTGCTTGACGCGATCGATTGGAATGGTGAGCGCGAGAACGCCCCGCGACCTAATATTCCTCCGAACACAGGGGCCTCCTGTCTTGCCCACCGCCCCCTGGTCGGAGCGGGCATCCAATGGAGCGACAATTGCAATAGCCTGGGCGGGGGGTTCGAAATGTCCGTTCGTGTCCCCTCCTCTTGTGCCCCTCTTGGACCCCTCTGGGGGCCCTCTTCGGTGCCCTTGGGCCGTCTTTCGGACCCAGGGCGGCCTTGGAGCCCTTGCGCGTGAGGAGACATGTCGAGTGCTGGCCGCATGGTACCATTTGACAGGGAGTCGCGAAACAAGCGCAGGAGCGATCTTAAAATGAGCGCGGTGCTAACGTAAGAACCCCTTTTTGAAAAGGAACTGGCCTCGATCCATGGAATTGCTGGAAAATTCGAAGACGAATGCGCGCGGCGCTAAGGCGAGAGCCACATTTTGAAAAGGTTGAGCCTCGATCCGTGTAACTGTTGGAAATTTAAAAGACGAAGGTGCGCGGCGCTTAGGCGAGAACCACAGTGTGAACCGGCCTCGATCCGTGTGACTGTTGCAATGTCGAAGACGAATGTGCGCGGCGCTAAGGCGAGAGCCACTTTTTGAAAAGAAACCGGCCTCCATCCCTGTAACTATTGGGAATTTCGACGACGAATGTGCGCGGCGCTGAGGCGAGAGCCACATTTTGAAAAGGAACCGGCCTCCATCCCTGTAACTGTTGGAAATGTCGAAGACGAATGCGCGCGGCGCTAAAGCGAGAGTCACATTTTGAAAACCACCCGCCCTCCATCCATGTAACTGTTGGAAATTTCGAAGACGAATGTGCGCGGCGCTAAGGCGAGAGCCACATTTTGAAAACCACCCGCCCTCCATCCTTGTAACTGTTGGAAATTTCGAATACGAATGTGCGCGGCGCTCAGGCGAGAGCTGCATTTTGAAAACCACCCGCCCTCCATCCGTGTAACTGTTGCAAATTTGAAGCTTGGCGATGCTAAATTGCAAAGAAGTCTCAAGCGAAACGCCCGGCCCGGCCTACAGACATGCCTGGGACTGAGACAGGGAGGAATTATTCATAAGGAGAAGGGATGAAGGTGGAGGAGGAGGACGAGGAGCAGGGGTCGATGCTGCGTCGAACGTCCGTCGACTTGAATCGAACTGGAGTCGAGCTGGAGTCGAACTGAAATAGAGTCGAACAGATCCGTTCGGCGGGCTCTAGAAAGGTCCCCAGACCGAGCATCTGAAGAGGGGAATGGGGGAGGAGGCAGGATCCGTAAAAGGGAAGGGGGAAGGGGAAGGGGGAAGGGGGAAGGGGGGAGCATCTGAAGAGGGGAAGGGGGGAGGGGGAGGGGGAGGAAGAAACAAAAAAAAACATGAACGTAAACCTTCGGAGGTCCGCGCGGACTCCCTGCATCGGCGCTGGACTCCCATACCCCAGGCGCGCTGAGCGGCGCCTGGGACGGCGGCAGCAGCGCCGCCAAGGGGGTCCGGCGCAGGTCCGAGCAACCTGCGCGGACCACCGACGATCCATGTGAACGTCGATGTTTCTTTCGGCGGTGCACGAACCTCCCTTTAGTAAACCTCCCCTTAGTGAAAACGGCCTTGGACCGAAACCGACGGACCTGGACCCGCAAAAACGACGGCCGCGACGCCCTGTCGCGCACCGAAAACGGCCAATTCCTTAATCGACGTGTCAGGGTAGGAGGTCTATCAACCTCCGATTCTTCTTCAAGAGGGGGAGGAAACAAGAACAGCAAGCATCGAATCGGGAACTCAAATCGACTCCGAGTGTGTGCCGGATCGGTCTGCATGCGCGCGGGGCCGAAGCCGAGTCGGATAGGCTGCGCTGGGATGCACAACAACTCCGTGCGGGCATCACGCCGCAGCGGCCGATCGTCGGAATCGAATCCGATCGAGCCAGCTGGAGCCGATATCGAATCGGACCGATCGGATCGGAGTGGACCCTGGGAGGTGGAAGTGATAGCAACAACTCCCCGCGGACTCTTCAGGGTGCCTGGGGCGCCCAGCTCTGGCATCTGGGGGTGAGGGAACCGAGAGGAGTCAACGCTCCTCCTCCTCCTCCTCTAGTTCTTCCTCCTCCTCCTATAATTATCATTATCTTTCGTATTATTCTTCTTCGTTTTTTTTCTTCCTCCTCTTCCTCCTCCTTCACCTCTCCCCCACCCCCTCTCCCTCCCCCATCCCCCGCTCCCCCTCCCGCTCCTCTATCAACCTCCTGCTCCTCCTCCTTCTCCACCTCGTCCTCGTCCTCCTTGTTCTCCTGTTCTTCCTCGTCCGCCTCACCCTCCCGTCCTCCTCCTCCTCCTCGTCCTCCTCCTCATCCTCCTCCTTGTCCCAATCCTCATCAGCATCATCATCACCATCACCAACATCATCACAACCATCATCATCGTCGTCGTCACCATCACCATCACCATCACCATCACCATCACCATCATCACCATCATCATTATCATTATCATCATCATCATCATCATCGTCATCATCATCATCATCATCATTAACATCATCATCACCGTCCCGACCATCATCCTCATCACCATCACCATCATCATCACCATCATCGTCCTCGTCATCATCGTCATCACGCATCATCATCAACACCATGATCCTCGTCACCATCGCAATCGCCATTATCATCGTAGTCGCCACCATCACCAACACCACCACCATCATCACCATCACCATCACCATCACCACCGCCGCCATCACCATCAGCACCATCATCATCAGCGGCATAATCATCATCCACATCACCATCACCATCATCACAACCATTCTCACCACCATCATCAGCATCACCATCACCATCACGATAATCACCATCATCATCATCATCATCATCATCATCATCATCATCATCATCGCCATCATCATCATCATCATCATCATCATCATCATCATCATCGCCATCACCATCACCATCATGTTCATCATCATAATCGCCATCGCCATCATCACCATCACCATTAGCATAAGCATCATCATCAACAGCATCAGCATTACCATTATCACCATAGTCATCTCACCATCACCATCACCAGTCACCATCACCGCCACCATCACCATCAACACACCCATGATCCTCATCATGCTCATCATCACGATCTTCAGCATCATCATCATCATCATCACCATCATCATCATCATCATCATCATCATCATCATCATCATCATTATCAACATCATCATTCTCAGCACCGCTATCCTCGTCAGCGTCGCCATCACAATCATCATCGTCGTCGTCACCAGCACAATCACCTTGAGCGCCACCGCCATCAACATCATCATCACCATCATCATCAGCAGCATCTTCATCAGCATCATCATCACCATCACCATCACCACCACCGCCATCAGCATCAGCATCAGCATCAGCATCATCATCAGCAGCATCAGCAGCATCAGCAATATCATCGTCATCATCATCAGCATCATCAGCATCATCAGCATCGCCATTATCGTCATAATCATCAGCAGCATCATCCTCATCCTCATCCTCATCCTCATCATAAGCATCATTATCATCAGCAGCAGCATAATCATCATCATAATCACCAGTATCACCATCACCATCACCATCACCATCACCACCACCATCATCACCACCATCACCATCATCCTCAGCATTATCATCACCATCCTCATTATTATCCTTATTATCATCCTCATCCTCATCCTCATCCTCATCCTCATCCTCCTCCTCCTCCTCCTCCTCCTCCTCATCCTCCTCCTCCCCCTCCTCATCACCATCACCATCATCATCGTCATCAGCAGCATCAGCACCAGCAGCACGATCACCATCATCCTCATCTCTGCCACCCTTTCTCCTCCTCCGCCCCCCTCGCACACCACCCCTCATCCCCGCCCCTCCCTCTGCCGCCCACTCCTGCCCTCGCCGCCGCCGCCCTGCTGCTGCTCCTCCTCGCCGTGGCGCCGGGGGCCCCGCCGCCCCGCCCGGAGGGCTCCTCCTCCCAGAAGGCCGCGGCGAGCTTCTTGCCCGCCTCGCTGTGCAGCGCGCGCTCCTGCCCCGGGCGCCCCTCGCGCGTGGCCGCTGGCCCGGGTGCCCCTCCCTCCTCGGGCGCCCGTCGGCGGGGCTGCGGCGGGCGGCGAGCGGGAGGCGCACCCGCGGCCTCGGGGGCGGGGAGAGCTGGGGGGGAGGCCTGCTCCCCGGGAGGCACGTGCGAGGCGCGAGCGGGAACCCCAACGCCCTCCCCCCAGGAAACAACGGCACGAAACCTTCGTCATGAGGGGCAGCATTCTCAGGACGGCCTTCAGGTTCAAGATCTGCTGTTGGAAATTGCTTCCCAGGGGCGTGGGAAGCCATCCCCGAAAGTCCTCAGGGAGAAGCAACCTGGCTGTTGAGTGTTGTTTGCTGTAGGAGCGTTGTTTTCCTTCCCGCTATAAAAATGTCCCAGGTCACGAAAGCGATCCTCATAACAAAAGTCAGCAGCGTAGGGGGTTTTGTTGGGTGGTATTTTTTCCAGGGCGCCCAGGAAAACCTTCCCGACAATCATTCCTCTGGAGGAACAAGCATGCTTCAAGAATGCCTCTTGTCAAGCCGAAAGGCTTGTTGGAACAATTATTCCCGGATGCCCCGGAAACCTTAGAAGCACGACGTCCCCAGTAGGAACAACACTCCTTGTTCCCAGTGGCCCCCGCTTTTCACAGCAGGTGCGCAGACTCAGGGAACGAAGCGAGCGAGCTCAAGCAAAAACGCAGGAAGGAGACCCGAGGGCGGATCGGTTGCTCACGTGGCGCAGGATATGGGCTCAGCGGCGCAGAGCGCGCGCCCCCGCCCGCCACCGACACGCCCGGCCCAACGATCGCCCTCTGCTCGAACCCCACCGGGCCTCGCAGGTACAGCCAGCGGGGATCTGACTACGACGCCGACGCTGACGCCGACGCTGACGCCGACGTCGACGCCGACGTCGACGCCGACGCCGACGCCGACGCCGACGCCGCCAACGCCGCCGACGCCGCCGACGACGACACCGCCAACGTCTCCAGAAGTTTCTCGAGGGGCCTTAGCCGCCTTAGCCACCTGCTGCACAAACTGCAAATGCATCTGTAAACCGCGAGGCCGCCTCCAACGCCGGGAGGGCATCGAGGTCGTCTGGGTCGCGCAGAAGACGGACAAGGAGGGCAGCGAGTCGTCGATGTACTTCTGGAACAAGCGGACGCGCGAGACCACCTGGGAGCCGCCCGTGCCGAGCCGAGGGGAGCCACCGACAGCTGGGTGGAGAGGCGAGCCGCCCGGCGCTGCGAACACCCCTCGCGGCGCCCGCCCCGGAGGCGCGCCCGCCCACGCCCGAACGGGGCCGGGGCCGCCCTGGGGGGGCCCCGTGGGCCCCCCCAAGGGGAGACGCGCAGACGGAGCCGTGCCGCGGGTCCTGCCGCCCGGCCCAGCTGGGCCCGGCCGCCGCGGGGGTCATCGTCGGTTCCGCAGCCGGCGACCTCGCCGGTGCCGCAATGGGAGCCGCCGCCAGTGCCGCGGCCGGCGCCTCTTCGGTGCTGCAGCCGGCGATGTCGGTGCTCTGCAGTCGGCGCTGGCGTCGGCGCCGCCGCGCAAGCCTCAGGGCGCCCCCACTGTGGCCGCTCCTTCGACCGATCGGCTGCGCTGCCAGAGGTCCTCGACGGAGATCTCACGCGGCAAGCCCGGGTACCGCCACGGGTGCGAGCGAACAGCCGACTTGCAATCCGCAAAGTCTCTGTGGCGCGCTTAAGGTTAGGTCGGGCATGTCCCCCTACAGGGGGATTGTGAACGAAAAATGAAACAGAATCAACAAATCATCAGAAGTTGCAGAAAAATGCAAACAAATCGCCCCCATACTATGTTTGGACTATTTGTGAACATTCCTCCTACATGTAGAGAGACACTCCCGAAGATCCGATGTCGTTTTTTCTTTTTACAATAATGCTTAATTTGTTCAATGCGGGGTCCAGGGAAGTCCCGGCCCTTTCCCCATGGCCAGTTTTTCATCCTGAATTGTTTTTTGACGGTCCCGAGGTCCGTCGAGGGCCTCTAGCGGCCAAAAACCTCCGTTTTGACTTGTTCAATGCGTTGGATCTCTGGGCCCCCGACTTCATGTCAAGGAAGCCCGGCAGCCGCCCGGGCCAGCAGGCTGCCGGGTGCGCCGCTGCGGCCGCCGGCCAGGCCGCGATGCGCATACCCCGCGGGCGCGGGCAGAGGCCCGCCCTCCCCGGGGCCGCTGGGCCGCGCTTCCGGCAACCACCCACCGACGAGCGCGTTCCACGACTCGCAGAGTAATTACTCGCACACGAATGGTCTGCATTCCCCGCGGGGGGTCTACGATAAATTACATCAATAGGGAAACGAAGAATGACATAAACAAAAAACTCGGAGCTCCGAGAGGATTTCTCGGATCCACGCTGGACCCCCCTGGCGGCGCCTCCGGCGCCGCCCCTGGCGCGCTCCGCGCGCCAAGGAGGGGTGTCCAGCGCGGATCCAAGAAATCCGCGCTCCCCGCGGGGGGTCCACGATAAATGACATCAGAGCAGCCAGGTGTTGTTCGGGCGTTTGCGAGTATAGGCACTTTGCGAGTATAGTGGGACGCGCTCGGCGAACCCAGACCTTGCCGCCAGGCGCGCCGCTGGGGCTGTCGGGCAGGCCGACAGGCATCCGGCAGGCGCGGCCGAGGGTCTGCGCTGGGCGCAGCGAAGGCGGGAGCCCGCCCGGCGCTGGGTTGCCGGGCCGCGCCTCCGGCAACGCCCAGACAGAGGCCGCCGGGCGCGCCGACGGGGCCGACGGGCGCGCCGCTGGCGCGGTCGTGGGCCCCTCCGGCGCGCGGCTGCCGGCTCGCCGCAGCGCGCTTTCTCCAACTCTCGGCCCCCCTCTCGCGGCTGACGGCGCCGACGGCGCGAGGGGCGAGGGGCCCCCTCCAGCAGGAGCGAGCTGCCGTGCGCCGTCTTCGATCCCACTTCTCTGTCTCCCGCCCTCCGACCTCGGCGCCGCCGTCGGCGTCTGGGCCAGCGCCCCCGCCCCCGTTATAGGCGGTTCCCCCGCCGGGCCGTCGGTGCTGCAGTCCGCGCCGTCAGCGCCGCCGTCGGCGCTGCAGTCGACGCCGGCGCCGGCGCCGCCGCGCAGGGCTCGGGGCGCCCCTGGCACCCCCACCCGCCGCGGAGCCCATTTTTTCCGCTGGGAGCTCTCGGCGGGGAGCTCAAGAAGTACACCGATGCTCTGCCGAGGATGCGAGAAGGCGTGCTCCTGATGCCCCCCCCCGCGCGCGGCCTCCGCCCCCCGCGCTCGGCGCGGCCGCGCGCGAGCCGCGGCCATTGCTGCGACCAGCGCTGCCGTCTGCGCCGCAAGCAGGGCTGCAGTGTGGGTCGCCGTCGGCGCTGCAGTCGGCGTCGCCGTCGGTGCCGCCTGGGGGCGCCGTCGTCGGCGCCGCCGCTGGCGCCTGGGCGGGCGTCCGAACTGCAGCTGGCGCTGCTGTCGGGGGCCTCTCCAGGGCGTCGCGCTGCCGCTTCTCTCCCCGCTCCTCCGCTTGACGCGGCCCCGTCGCGCAGCCAAGGTTGCCACCGCTGACCCCTCCGGCCAGGCGGCGCGCGCGCGGGCTTGGGCCAGGTCGGCCTCGGCGGCCTCGAGGGCGCCAGGCGCGCGCGCCTCCTTCGCCGCCGGCAGGGCGGCCCCTCACTGTACGGCTCGCCTCTCGAAGTCTTTTGCCGCCTCGCGGCGCCTCTCGCCCTCGCAGGCCGCCCGCGCCGGCAGGTCGGGGGCGCTGTTCCTGCCCGCGTCCGTCGTCGGGGCCGCAGTGGGAGCCGCCGTCGCCGCCGTGGTCGGCTTCGCCGCCTGCGCTGCGGTCGGCGCCGCCGTTGGCGCCGCGGTCGGCGCCCCCGCCGGCGCGACCGCGCGCGCCGTCGGCGTCGAGGGCGGCGCCGCCGCGCAGGGCCCCCGGCGCCACCGCCGGCCGCTCCCCCCGGCGTGCTGCTGGAAGTCATTGCGTCGTCACGTAGGCGGCTTTACGTTTGCGAACTGGCCCCCAGGATGGAAACGCGGCAATCAGGCCCAGACGGCCTGGACGCGCAATCGAGACACGTGCGAGATCAGCCATGTGAAACATTGCGATTTCCTCACCATTCAGCCCACGTTCGAAGCGGGACCCGCGGGGCCTGTTCGAGAGCCACCAGGTTGTCCAAGAACTCCGAGATCCAGTCCTGGGCGTTCCACACGTCGACGGTCTCCGCGAAGTGGTCGGGGAGGTCGGCGAGGCGCTGCTCCTGGCTGCGCACCAGCTGGTCGAGGGGCGACAAGGACTCCTCGCGGGCGTGATCCGGCGCCGCCCCCCGGGCCGACCCGCCGAGAGGAGTCCTGGGCGAGCGACTCTCGGAGCCCACGCTCGCGCCGCCCATGCGAGAGGAGGCTCTCGTCGGCAGCTGGGCGGCGCCGTCGAAGTCGCCCCCGTCGGATCCTGGCGGGGGCTCCGAACCATCGGGGCCGCCGCGAGGAGAGATCGCGGGCGGCGACTCGCTCGGCTGGCAACACGCGGACGCACCTCCCGAGTCGCTGCGGGGCCCGCCAAGCGGCGAAGGTCGGCTGCGGCGGCGGCCGCCGCGGCTGCGCCTGCGGCGCAGCGGCGACGCCGCGCGCCGCTCGCGCGAGCGGCCGCGGGCGCTGGCCCTGCCCCCGTCGGCCCCCGCCGCCCGCGCCGACCTTGAGTCACCGCGGAGCGGCGCGCCGAAGATCGCCTTGGCCTCCTCGGCGTCGCAAGGCCTGGGCCTGCCCGCGCCAGCGACCGTCGCGCGGACCTTGTCCAGGGGCGCCCTGCTGCGCATGCCCTCCAAGACGAGGCGCTCCTCGCCGTCGACGCGAATCTCCCGCAGCCTGTTGGCGAACTCGTCGGCCTCGGCACGAGGGGGGGGGGGGGGGCGCGGGGCGGAGAGGGGGGGGGAGAGGAGGGAAAAGAGGAGGACCAAGAAGGGAGGAGCGACAGGGGGAAGTAGGAGAGGATAGAAAGGAGGACAGGGGATAGAAGAATAACTAGATGGGGCGAAATGGATCAGG